CTCTCTCTCTCTCTCTCTCTCTCTCTCTCTCTCTCTCTCTCTCTCTCATCACTAAGATGCTTCTTGCCTAGATTATGTCATGCATTTGAATGGACAGCTCATTGAGTTTGACCATCTACCTTGACTAGGCATTACAGATTAATAATAAATTGGATCTGCAATTGAATAACCAGAAGAGATTAAGCAACTAACTCACTTGGGGCAGCTAGGTGGGGCAGTGGATAGAGCACCAGCCCTGGAGTCAGCAGGACTTGAATTCAAACCCAACCTCAGTCAGACACCTAACACTCACTAGCTGTGTGACCCTGGGCAAGTCACTTAACCCCAGTTGCCTCACCAAAAAAAAAAAAAAAAAAAAAAAAAAGCAAAAACAAGCAACTCACTGACACAAGAGCCCATCTTTCCATTATGAAAATTTCCCCATATTTACTATAGGGCCATAGAACATGGAGCACTACAACCTCAAAATTACAAATGACTCGAAGTTCAGTGGAAGCAAGATGGTGGGTCTAACTGGCTGTAACATATTACCAAGGGTAAGCTATAGCCAAGGAATGATATAAAAGAAATTAAATAAAAATAAATGATTACAATCATTTTGGAGAGCAATTTGGAAGTATGCCCAAAGGGCTATAAAAATGTGCATACCCTTTGACCCAACAATAGCACTTCTAGGGCTGTATCCCAAAGAGATCATACAAATGAGAAAAGAACCCACATGTACAAAAATATTTATAGCAGCTCTTTTTGTGGTGGCAAAGAATTGGAAATTGAGAGGATGCCCATCAATTGAGGAATGGCTGAATAAGTTGTGGTACATGAATGTAATGGAATACTATTGTGCTATAAGAAATGATGAACAGGCAGACTTCAGAAATGCCTGTAAAGACTTGTATGGTCTGATGCTGAGTGAAGTGAGCAGAACCAGGAGAACACCAACAGCCACATTGTGTGATGACTAATATTGATAGACTTATACAAGGATCTAAGACATCTCCAAAAGCCTCATGATGGAAAATGCTATCCACATCCAGAGAACTATGGAGTTTGAATGGATATTGAAGCATACAATTTGCTATTTTTGTTTTTCTTCTGTTGTGGTTTGTTTCTCTTTCTGGTGGTTCCTCCTATTGGTTTTAATTCTTACTTACAACATCACTAATGTGCAAATATGTTTAATAAGAATGTATATGTATAGGCTATATCAGATTACATGTCATCTTGGGGACGGAGGTGGGGAGGGAGAGGGAGAAAATTTAAAACTCAAAAGCTTATGGAAGTGATTGTTGATAAATCAAAATAAATTAATTTAAAAAAATAAATGGTCAAGGACATGTGTGACAGGAAAGGGAGGTGTTCATGCAAAGAGAATGAGGAATAATCAAGCAAAAACCTAAGCCCTGTAAGAAAAACCTTTAGCATGTTGAGAAAACTCTCTATATTCCCAGTACTTGGCTGGCACATAGTAGGCACTTAAATGCTTGTATTGATTTGATTTCACTTGGATTTAGAGAAGGGCATGAATGAGAATCACATAGGTATGGATATGGTTGCAAGGTATAAAGCAAGGTATGGCTAGGTTGGGACCTACAGAGGGAATACTATCACTGATGAGAATTTGGATGGATTAAGTACTGAAATAAGTCAATTTTACAGACGGTCTTTAGTGGGGTGCCACAGAGCATTGTCCTTGGCCTTAATCTGTTCAATATTTTCACAAATGAGCTAGATGAAGGCCCATATGCCATGCTTATCAAATACATGAAGAACATGGAGGAGGGAGGTATTTAGATATTGAATGCCAAAGTCGAGATCCAAAAATATCTCAACATATTAGAACTATGAACTGAGACAGGGAAATATTATACGTATGTGTGTGCGTGTGTTTGTGTGTGATATGTTGGGGGCAGCTAGGTGGCACAGTGGATAGAACACTAGGCTTGGAATCAAGACAACTCGTCTTCCTGAGTTCAAATCTGGCTTCAGACACTTACTAGCTGTGTGATCCTGGGCAAGTCACTTAACCCTGTTTGCCCTAGTTCTTCATTTGTCAAATGAGCTGGAGAAGGAAATGGCAGACCACTCCAGTATCTTTGGGAAGAAACCTTCAAAATGGGGTCATGAAGAGCTGGACACAGCTGACATAACTGAACAGTAACAATAAATATGATAATGCTATGTGCTATTTGTTGTTCAGTCGTTTCAGTTGTAACCAACCCTTCATGACCCCATTTGAGATTTTCTTGGAAAAGATACTGGAGTAATTGGCCAGTTTCTTCTCCAGTTGATCTATTTTGTCAGACAATCAGAGGTTAAGTGACTTGCCCAGGGTCACACAGCTAGGAAGTATCCGATGCTGGATTTGAACTCAGATCTTCAGATACCAGACCACTGAGCAACTGGATGCCTCTGTTATATACTGTAGTAGAGACAATATAAAATATTCTAATGCTATAGTATAATAATATCTATTATAGCATATATAATGCCATATTATATGTGACATAATATAGATTTTTATAATATGAGTTATATAATTTATAGTATATTATGTCCTATGATATTTATGATATCTAAAGTCCTACACAGAGGTTAAAAAACTACACAGGTATATGAAACAGAAAGTGTGGCTGAACCGCTCAGGTGAAATACGATGTAGGTGGTTCGTTGGACTTCAAGAATTATCAGTGTTGCGTGACAGCTGAAAAACCTAACGTGCTATCAGACTGCACGCAAAGAAAATAAAGACTTTGGAATGAGGGAGATTATGGAGGAGATGGATGCTCAGGTACAGGGTGAGCTAGATGACCTTTGAGGTCCCTTTCAACTCTGAGAGTCTTGTAAGACATTCTATTTGTGTGACAATTTATAGTACCCAAAGCACTTTGACACCCACTGTCTCACTTGATTCTCTAACTCACTTTGTGAAGTGGACAGCAGAGATATCCTTTATTCATCTGTCAAGCAAAGAAACTGATGTTCAGGAAAGTTGAGTGACAAGTCTAAGATCTATGCAGCTTGTAAGTGGCTGAGTGAGGAATCAAACCCAGGTGTTCCACCATTCACATTTAAGGCCCTTTCTGCTGTGCCATAGTTTCCTCTCAGGTCAAGAATGATATTTCAGGGGCAGGTAGGTGGCACAGTGAATAAAGCACTGGCCCTAGAGCATCAGGAGGACCTGAGTTCAAATCCAGCCTCAGATACATAATACTTCCTAGCTGTGTGACTCTGGGTAAGTAACTTAACCCCAATTGCCTCACACACACAAAAAAAAGAATGACATTTTGGTTGATCCCCATTTTGGCCCTTGCACAGTCCCCAAGCAAAGAAGAGGCTAGCTTCTAAAGTGTAAGGTTTTTTGTTTTATAAACAAGTCCTTAATTTAGTTCAAGTGATCAAACACAAAACCAAACACAAGAAAGGAGAGAATCAACTATGAAACTGGGACTCCACCATTAGCCTATCAGCCTCTATATGGCCTGTCTGCTGGGATGTTTCCAAATCACCTAGTTCTCCAGTTAGTGAATGAAAAACTTAACTAATTCAATAACAGCATCAAAAGGGATAGTTAGCAGCATGCAGAGAACTAGGTATTGAACTGCATAAAAAGAAATAGCTCAAATAGTTAGATCCTAACTTTTTTCACAGATGTTGGAATTAAACCCAGCCTGTACTTACCACGTGTCTACCATGTGCCAGGCACTGTGCTAGGTGGTGGGGGAATACAAAGACAAAATTGAAACTGTGCCTGTCCCCAAGGATCTTCCACTCTAATACAGGAAAACAACAGGTACACGGAGAGGTCAATACCAGTCATATACAAAGTCATTGTTGGGATCTGGCTAGGGGATCAAAAGTGAACTGTGTTCGAGGTCGCAAAGGCTAAGCAAAGCCTGGTACATCATGAGTATAAAGCATTTGCGGTGCTCTGAAAGAAAAAAAATCCCGTGATCTCTCAGTGATCTTAGTCTTCATTATGGATTATCTCCCAAATCTGGTTGCAATATTATTTCAGTGCCTCATTCTGCTTGTAGTCCAAGAGACCTTTTAATCAGAACACTCTCTAGACCATCATTTACTAGCTATTGAAGGTTAACCACATTTTAAAGGTAATTATTTTAAAATCTGTTTTGTGTGTATGTGTGTGTGTGTGTGTGTGTGTGTGAGTGGTATTTTCAATCACCCTTGCCATGCTCAAGTGTTAACAAGGCCAAGGGAGAATAACCTAAGTTGGAAGGTATCTTTGAGATCATCTAATCTAACTCCTCATTTTGCAAGTGAGGAAAATGAGACCTAGAGAGGTTGCCTAGATTGTCCTTTTAAAAAAAAAAACTGCCTTCTAACTTCACCTTTCCATTCGTCTGCTGGTGAATTAATTTTTTTGAAATGTAATTTCTGATGGGTAGAAAGAAATATACCAAGTTTTGGC